TGGAGGCTGTTATGTGAATGGCTTTTATGCATGCCGCTTACTTTATTATGATTACTAATATCTGAATGAATTCCCTGCATAAAGTTACAGGATTCAGTAAAAATTCCTAAGAAACGGTAGAATGATATATATATATATATATATATATATATATATATATATATATATTTATGGTCTCAGCATAGGACTATGCACAGAAGTGCAACAGTTCGAGTTAATCAGCTTTATGGTTTTACTTATCAGGAATCTGGGCAGGCAGCAGTTGTATATTCAACACATGAGTGAATACGTTGTAACTGGATGCAGTAATTAATTCAAACAGTAGAGTTTAAAAAATCCGCATCACATAGTGTTTTATCACCTTTCGATGAGTGCATGTCATCTGAAATAAGGAACTTCCATCGTTTCAACAACAACACACTTCAAATCGTAACATACACGCCGTTATTGCTCAGTCCTGTTCAACCACTGAAGATGCTGAGCACAATAATTGTAGGACACTGAAAAAGCTTTTTGTACCAACTAAAAGAACGTCATGTAACAAATATGTTGCATCGAGTGACTAGAAATACAACCATTAAACATAGTTAATAATAATAATCCTGTATCACTCTGTGTATTAGATTATATCTAACTAAACTAATCTAATATATAGAATTTGTTGAAAAAAAAAAAAACAAGGGGACATGAAAATGTGAACACTGCTCAGGTATGCGCATGTATGTATGCATTCATGAATTTAATCACACTTAATGCTAAGTTGTTTATTATCATAAACCTTTAACTATGTATTTAGATTGTCTGTCATAACCGCCTACATCAAACAGTTTAAACAATTCGGAACAATAATCGTTAGAAAGCTAATATGAATGATGATGCCATCTTTCCGTTCATTTTTTTTTCATAACTTTTTGCCAGTGCTGTGTTGACCACCAAATAATTTGTGAAAAACTGCTATCAACACTATGCATGCACTGCTGTAAATCCTTATTTATCCTCATTGAAAATTGAAACCTAATACGATTCATTGACAAAATAATATCAAATCAAGAATTTGGAGAAATGAAACTTCACTTGCGAGCTGAAAAGAAACTCTACATGAACTTGTATTTCAAGGGAGATTCAGCAAGCGATACTCTCAAGAAAAGGATCACATCATCTCTGAGAAGAACATTCTTTGCAACAACGTTGAGAATAGTGTTTTCTCCAGTCATCCAATGATCTGCAAAAGTCTCCTCAAGGACAAGATCCCGTATCTGACCACTTCTAGGAGTATATATCAGTTCACCTGCTGCTGTGGAGCCAGCTAGCTACATCGGTCGTTCAACGCACACCCTGTCCAAGAGGATTCAAGAACACTATCCAGCCAGCATGGTTGCGAAAAGGCAATAGTGGTGTAATAAGGAGTGCGATAATTGAACAACGCCTGGTTAACACACTGATCATTCCATCTCAACAACAAACGCCTCCTGCATCAAAGTAATCTACAGAGTCAAGAATAGCCTATCAAAGGCAATTGCAGTTTCGTCTTCTTTGTATCGCTGAAGCTCTCGCCATTTACATAGAAAAACCGGAGCTGTGCATACAAAATAGGATTACTCGACCACTTCAAACGTCATGGCAACAACTTTTTTGAATTTGATGATTTCATTTTGTTTGTTTACCTGTTTCTTCAATTGCTTATAATCCTTGTATTCATTTAGAACTCCTACGTAATTTCGTATTCTCTACTTTGTTGCTATGTGCATCCTGAGTAAAACCACTCATCAAACTATTCATATTATTACATAACTTCTTTCAACAACTGTTTGTGACAACTCATCACCTTTGTTACTACCCTAATTTCATTAACACCTAATTCTCTTGACTTGTATTACCAATCTAGCTAAAATAAACATAACCAATTGTAATTTTGTTTGACAAACTTAATGAACACATACATAAAAAACAACACATATATTTGCGATTTTACAGCTTAGAAAATGAATCCACCAAAAAGAGATTCTTCGCTGGTCTGTTTGTTGTTTAAACGCAGAAAAAAAACTTGGTACAATATGGCACCAAGAAAGATGCGCCACACAAGTCGTATGAGGCTGAGATACTGCCCGAGCGCACAGACCGAAGCAGGTGGTTTTATTAAGGGACCACCCCCCGAGCCTTTGACTTGGAGTCTAATCCGCAAGGTAGCGGAGCAGCGTCAGGAGCTGCATTCCCATGGTTTCCGGTGATCCGTATGGGTTCATAAGCCATTTGATCCGATTGGATTCTGGAGCCCATGTACCCCATGGTAACTGCTTTTAGTCTAACCGCTATCCCAACAACCTTCCTGACATGGTAGGACCTGAAGGGACATGACTCCCAGCCAATTTAGCTTGTTGGGTCACTGCGGTATTCAAGCTCGACCACCACGACAAGATAGCAGTTGTCGGCCGGGCTTCGCTGATCTACGTGTTTTGTTTTCAATAAATCCTTATTAACAAAGATATGAACCAGATCATCTCTACAACAGAAAACTCTGAGGGGATGAAGCCATTGCCCAACATGTTTACACATAACATGAAAATTGATGATGAACGTTGTTTTTGTTTTGTTTGCAATAATGTCTAGCCAAGTGAAATACAACTGGCATCAATATGCCAGTAGTTATTTTCAACCAGCACATACACACACACACACAAACAAACAAAATGAAACGAAAATACTACCATACTAATATACGTTAATCATTTCAATTCACCTTATATACCCACACCCTTATATGTATGTATATATTTGTATCATATTACAACATCAAAGTGAACAATCAACATTTTGGTACACAATTTGAGAAAACAGAATATCATCAAAAGAAATGGTAACATAAATGATCACAATGTTAGTCAATACAACTAACGCATTAAATAACTAAATGGAATGATGACTGCACAGTGAAAATGATGGCGGATAGATCAATTAACAACAAGAAGAAAAAGGTTCACATAATATTCAAGTGGTGATAGTTTTCAGGGATTTGATTTGATCGGTCACAAGACATATCACCCATCAATGCGCTGACATTGGGTAAGAGGCCAATGAATTAGGTTCCAGTGGCTGAATTAATTAACAGTCTACGAGCTCGTTGGCCTTGTAAGAGAAACATCCTGAGTCCGAAACCCTGGTCGTGGGTGCATACTATCTCAAACTAGGCTGACGAAACAACTGACTGTCCACGTACTTGTTGGCTGGTTTTCAAATGGTTCTCTAAATGGTGTCACAGCTCATAAAGAAATCTTACTCAAATAATAATCTATGCAACATAGATTAAAGCGAGAAAGAATGGTTTTGTTGTAAAGTAATTTGATTCTAAATTTGATAGATAGAGGCTCCTTATTAATATATGTGTAAAACTTGGGCACCTTGGTAGTAAGTAATTCCATATTAGTTTGTTTATTTGATGTATCACACAGTGAAACAGTATTATTTACTGGATGACACAGTTTCGAACAAAATTTATTGTGGTTCATGATCATATCAATTGTATTCACACGACTTCGAAACTTGAGTTTTACAGTTTTCTTTGTCTTCTCCTATTTGTCATCGTTGGGGTAGCAGAATTTTCCAGATATCAGGGACAGGTGTTGAATCATTCCTATTACATGTATTCACTCTCAGTTGATTCGAAATGGCGCGTGTTGGTTTGCAATTGATTCGATAAATAAAGATTCTGTTATCAATCTCCCCGTTCCTCCACCTTGTGACATTAGATTTTCAAACTGTCATCCTATCCCACCCAGCCTATTGTATGGTTGCGTGTAATTGCATGTGGTGTAGTGCTATAGCTGAACTATTCTCCAGATTTCTTATCTTATTCGGGTCAGCCAATCTAGATTTCGGCTAGTCTGACTGCCCTGTTCTACTACTAATTTGACCGTATGTATTTGACCTGACAATCATTGAAGGCAGGGTATTAGATAAACTAAATTGTTTTGTTTTAAAGGATCCACAGGATTGATCCTTTAACCGACAAAGCTTGTTTCTAATTGAGTTTGTGGTTGGTTTGAATTCCAGTCACTTTTATTCCTGCCTTGTTAAGAATTCTGCGTAAGCTGGTTTCCGAGGTTCCTTCGTTGTATGGGATTACTACTGATGATTTAGATTCCTTATTGTTGGTGTCGTCATTAATATTATTATTACCACTATTATTATTATTATCGTTATTATTGTTATCATTATTATTATTATTATCATCATTATCGCTACTATTGTGGTGAGATCTGGCTGCTAACCAAATTGGTAGACAGTAATTTACGTCAATATTTACGTCTCAAATACTTGGTCATGAGAAAAATGAGAACATATAGATGATCTGTTACCTGCATATTGGCTTCTGTTGTTTCACTATCATTACTTACTTTATTTTTACATTTCCTTACATATTTCCTGACTAATTTATCCGGGTAATTATTAAGTTTCAAGGCTTCTTTTATGTGTATCACTTTCTGCCTTAGATTTTCCTTGGTACTACTTAGTTTTTGTGCTCTGTCATCACGCAAAACATTTCACCAATCCTATTTTCACTGACATAGATTGTGGGTGGGATGATCAGAAGTCCAAATGTATCTGTTTATCAACAACTGTCCACTTCACTGGCTGTTCTATATATTGAAGATCAAATGGCCAGTCCGACAGAATTAGCAACAAGAAACTCGAAGAGGCAACGAACCAACTAAGAGCCTATTGCTCAAGAATTATGCCAAAGAGACAGGCGACCCATAGAATGACACATCGCTCAACAAGCCCTAGAAAGAAACCCGAATTAGAAACGAAGAATCAGGGCTTTCGAGAGTGGCATGAAGATCATGTGAGTTGGAGGAGGGTGATGAAAGCCCATGGGCAATCATGCGTCCAGATAGATGACTGATGAGATGTGATGCTCGAAGGGACTCAATGGGAACAATAATACTAGTAGTAGAATGGCATTCTTATCACACACACACACACACACACACACACAGACTTACAAATAATCTTTAAATTCACTGAATCCGGTGAATATTTCTTTTCTTTCGTCAAAGGATTAATAGCTGCACATCTGTAGATACCACAATCACGTGGTTGAAAACTTTGTATTAACAAACTGACACGTTTTCCATCTGCACGAGTAATTTGACGATATTTTTCATTTTTCATAGCTAAAAAAGGTCCAAACAAAAAAATAATAAATAATAGAAAGAAAAGAAAACTGATGAAACTTTGTGTGAATGATAAAATTGTGAGAGTGAAAACAAAATCATCTGGTCGAACAACAACAACAATAATCGATAACAGGTGGTTCTCGGAAGGCGTAATTTCACACACGTAGATTACTTTTTTTTTTCCTTCACGTTCCCAGTGGCGGAACATAAGACCTCAAAAGCTAGTGGCTTGAAGTTTCTGCAGCAGTGGTGATTATTTTTACAGGATGGGGTTGCTGCTGGCCGCCTCATGCCCAACCTTCCCTCCTCTTTACCAGCATTACTTCTGGCTTAGCGAGGTATATGAGTGAGTCTGTGGCCGGGGATCGAACCCTGGACTATATGCATAGTCGGCGAGATTCCTAACCGCTGTGCCACAGACCACAAGATTTCATCATGAGTTGATATCGGTTAGAGAACCAATGGAAAACTAGCAGAAGGTAATGGACAGTTCTTTAGCCCTAGTCAGTCAGTGGGCCTCTTCATCAGTGGGTACCTACGACAAGGGTTCAAAAACCCAGGAATTTCCAGTTATGAGGAGAGCTCGTAAACCATTCCATCAGCTACTGGGACCCGATCCAATGGTCAACTCATGAATTCCAACTTTTACCCATTCGCCCATATATGGCGCGACCACTAGCCAAAGTTATCAGCGAGTATCTCCATCGTCACATCCAACCTGATGTACCTGCAAGCCAGCACTCGAATATCACACGACAATTAGTGGTCTTCCCAGATGAATAGAAATAAGTAATCAAACCTATGCAATGCTGGAAGGTCACCTGATCAACCAATCTACTGAAGCCAAGCTAGAGTGAATAGTGAACATGGAGTGCGAACACACACCAATGACCTTGCCTCTCGCTATTGGGTTCTGAAGACTGAGCTGACAGGCATGGCTCCCCACAGACCTCAGAAATTCGTTGGTTTCTACTATCCAGTGGTATCATCATTCTGTAGGGATATAGAATCATGGGAGATGAATACCGCCACGCAACTTTTGGGAGGAGAAGGGGTTATTGTCCACACAGATCAAAACTGTACAACCGTAATCACCCTAGATCGAATAATGTGTGGATATTGGGAATTCACGACACAACCATTGGTAAAGGAGTCATGGAGGTAATTCCAAATCGTACTGTGAAGACTCTCCTACATTAACGGACAACCGTTGGTAATTATTCCGGGTAGTAGAATGCATAGAGATAAATAAGCAGGATAAAGTAGGTTATGAGAGTTGGGATTCATTCAACCTCGTGTCATTTATTCAGATTATTTTTTTCGATCCTAATTCCATTGAAGGCTTTTGAAGAAGACTGAAGAACCGAATCCGAGTGATGAACAACTCACAAGAAAAACTGCTTTAACTATTAATCTTAATATTCAGCGACAGTATTTATCGATAACGGTGTTATATATCACGAATACACAGAAGTTTGGATTCACGGATCATTGAGTAACAATGCAATCGACCCATAACCTGGAATGCACAGGTTTCACCCCTGGTTCAGACTGATGAAGGCTCCGATACGGCCGATGGACCAAAACAGATGTCCAGTGCTCCCTGATTTTCAGTGATTAGCTAACTAATGTAGGTTCAGTCAATTTGATCTGGCTAACAATCACTACTGGTTGGTGATGTGAGTAGTGCTCAACTATTACTCATCTCAGTTAATCAGTAGTATGCCGTTTAATGCGAAGATGTTGTTTCTGGACAAAATTTATGTTGAAATAAAGATTCTACATCGTAATAGATGAATGGTCTACAAGCTAACCAAGTAACCTGAAGCTCCTGAGTTCGATCCGCGGTGGAGTCACTAACGTATACTGTTAAAGAGTTCCACAAACTAGAACGAGATAGCTGTTTAATTACTTCTTGATTTCGGATTTTTTTCTAACTGAAATATTAGTTTCCATTATTTATCGGACAGCTGTTTTATCCTAGTTTGGGACTCTTCAGCAGTACGCACCCACCGCCATGGTTCAAACCAGGGACCTACTGGTTACAAGGCGACCTCGTAGCCCATTGGGTCACTGGGATCTGATCCAATGGTCGAAGACATTGCGAAATGGTCGCCCTATGTCGTGAGTTGGCAGAAGTTAGAATACAAGGACCATTGGATCGGGTACCAGTGACTCAATGGTCTACGAATTCTCCTTGTAACCGGAAGGTCCTGAGTCCCAAACTAGGACGAAACAGCTGTTCAGTACTCCCAGTTTGTTTTCCAGCGGTTCTCTCACTGATGTCAGCTCATGATGAAATCCTCCATGCAATCAAACAAAATCTCTACAAAATCAATACTAGAAAAAAGTGTCTTGCATGAACACAAAAAAAGAAATAATAATAATAATGACCACAACGTAACATACCTGTTAGATCGATAACAGTATTGTTTAACTCAAATTGAATTATAGGCTTTGGGTAACTGTTTACAGGTAAATAACAGTCAACAATGGCTATATTTCCATGTAGAAATTCTACATTTTCAGTATGAGATGTAGCAGAAGCTCCTCCAGAGGTTCTTGAAGGCGGAAATGAGCCTAAAGCTATGGAATGATAAAAAAAAATAGGTGGGAAGAATGACATATATATATATATATGCTGTAAATGAATGTGAACATTGAACGTTGGTTTACTGGCCTTGGTCGCCATTGGTGGGCAACTCGAAGGCGCGAATGATTCAATCGTGTACAAGTTGAAAGAAGACGAAGCAATACGAATAAAAGTATAATACATTCCCTGTAAAACATTTATTTATAGGCTTTGTACAGGGTATTGATTTTAACTGCTGGACAATACAATTTGTCACCAGTTCTTATGTTTTGGAGTTAAGGTCAATATTGTCGTTTCGAGCGTCTTCGGAGATAATAGGAACATAAGGGTTAAGTTCCTTGACAGATGCATTAATGATACACTTACCTTGAGTTAACGTAAGGGTAAAAATTACCAGTCGTATTCCTTTACCCTTCGAGTGGAACATAGGGTTTCATACGTACACTAATCGACTTGGCCCTAACTGAATTCAGAGACTCAAGGATTAACTTGTTACCATCAGGGAATAATCTCGCTGACTCAGAATATGCAGATGATACAGTCCTTCTAAGTGATGACGACGCTGACAAAATATAAAGTCTTCTGTGAACACCTTGAGCAGCACCAATCTTCTATAGATCCAAACCAAATTCACTTTGAACATTATAAATTATTTAAATTAATCCCAGCGTGTTAAGAAAATCAAAACAAGATTTTTCTGAACGTTTCGCCGTGTAAGCCACAGCTTCTTCAGCAGATTTATTCGGATTATAATTAATCATCAAAATATATAGTCAAAATTTTTTACATAAAATGAAGTCAGTTTATTTGAAGGTCATTTCTCTATGAACATTTTTTACCAATAGAAGTATGTAAGCTGTCCTCACATATATTTGTAATGACTAATGTCAAATTGTTGTTGTGTTTACTTCTCTATAGTTGACTTGTAAAGATTAGATCTGTATGCGTGTGTGTGTGTGTGTATGTATGTTATTTGTCATATGGAAAATACGTGAATTCATATGTGATAAACGTGTCACTACATGTTTTAAAGGTCATGGAGGCTCATAGAGTGTTTGTTGTTTTTTTTTTTTTTTTTTTCCTTTGTCTTGCTTCATAAGAGTTTGCCATATAGGTGATAAGTCTATACCTTCCTTCCTATTCACTGCATTTGATGTGGTTAAAATGTGCAAGGCTTCTGAAATCAATCTTTCTTTATGTGAATGAAATCCTCTTCCAAGAATTTCGACATTGTCAAAATCAATCTTATGTCCGCTGTCTATCGCATGTATTGCTATAGCCGATCTTTTTTCTAGACTTTTTAATTCTACCTCATTCCTAGGTGGATGTTTCGTGCAAAGTCTATGTTCATTCACTCTGACTTTCACCTGCCTACTGCTCTCTCCTATATAGCATGCCTCACATTCTGAACACTTTATCTTGTAGACACAATTACTTTGTGACATTTTGGGAACTATATCTTCGTAACACCTACGGTCTGGAAACTTATAATTCACTTTGAACAGTTTGAAAAAATTTGGCCATTGGGTACATGATACTCTTACGAGTTGATCACGAATTGATATCAGTTGGAGAACCATTGAAAACCAGCCACAGGGAGTACTGAAAAGCTTTTTCACCAGCCTAGTCTGAGAATTATCGGTAGTGTGCACCACCTATCAGGGTTCGAATCCACGAACTTTCTGTTATAAGGCCAGTGAGCTCGTATATCATTCACCCACTGGGACTCAACCCGATTCAATGGCCAGTGCATGAATTCCAACTTCTAACAACTCGTGATTTAGAGCGACTCAGACCAATGTCATCAATGGAACATCCATCCTCACACGTGACATCTAGATGGACCGCACTGGTCACAATTTCTCGCTAGAACTGACTCCAGGGAACTCCATCCTGTAGCCAGTAGTCACTAGCGAGTATCACAGATTAATTTTCTATAGTTTGGTTTGTAAGGGTCAGTTTTGTTTTTTACGAGTTGATCACGGATTGATATCAGTTAGAGAAGCATTGAAAACAAAACTAACCCTTACAAATCAAACTATATGGTATTCATTATAATAAAGGCTTTCTTTTCCAATAAATGAAAAAGAAAAAACCGATATTGTCGTTGTTTTTACTGACGTTTCGCTATCTTCAATGCGACGTATAGCTTTATCAAAGTAGTAATATTAAACCAGAATTTACAAAATCCACTCTGTCTGTCTGTCTGTTTTCGACATAGAACTTTGCACAAATGTGCGGAAGTTCAAGTCGCCACATTCCGTGTAGCACGCGAAGCAAGAGAAGAAAGTACAAGAAAAGCATAATAGAGACAGTGAGCAGAGGTGTGAGACAAAGGAGTAATAAAGAAAAACAAAACAGTTTCATTGGAGATCATAAGTCACAAGGAGTGGATGCATCTGCGCTATCACTGAGAACCATTTTGAGCCATGTCACCAATTGTTTCCAATCATAGATTTTTACTGTCCCGAGGACCCCAGCCTGGAAGTCTACACCTTTCTACGTGGCTTAGACCAACTGTTGTGGATTTCATTGACTGGTGAAGCCAAGTTTTTGTTTGACCGCCGCTAGCTTTTTTCCAGTCTGACCCTATATCCGCTAACATTGCTCGTCGAGGGAGGCGATGGCTTGGCATACGTAACACATGTCCTAACCATCTCAGTCTTTGTAACTTCACGACTTCGTCCACTCTCATCCACTCAGCTTGAATTATATAACAACTTAATCATCATTCCTCAGCATAGGGGGCATTTTTGCGTTGTTGTCAAATTGGCCGCCAATTGGCCTAAGATAAGAAAAATAAGGTGTAGATAGATTGTTGGATTTGATAAGTATGTAAGATTACAACAAAAGCAGTGTGTGTTTACATAATGAAATTGCTTATCAATTACAATCGTGTTGATTTTGGAAAATGGCAACATATAACAAGGGGAAGATGGGGAGTGAGAGAGAGAGACAGGGAGAAAGAAAGAGAAAAAACAATAAAAGACAAGCTGTGATGCCACCATGTAACTACACTGATATATGATTATGAGCAATAATTCACGCTAGAAACGTCATCTAGTTATTAATACTAATATTCGTAGCTTATCCTCCGCCTAAACTTGGCGCGTCATAAACAGCACCTCAAACAAACTACAAACCTTCATCAATGAATAGCTGTCTTCGCTCAATACTAGTCAAGATCAGATGGCCTGTCAGAAAAGATCAGCAACAGGGATCTCTGGAAATTAGCGAACCAACCCAGCCGGAACCGATTGTGCAACTAATAGGCAGAAAGAAATGGAGGTGGATTAGCCATACTCTGAGGAAACCATCAAATGACATCACTAGACAAGCCGTCGCTCGAGTGGAACCCGAAAGGGAAGTGGCGAGTTGGTCGTCAGTGCAAGAGTGGGGTGACTTGGAGGAGGTCATGTGAAGAGGAGATGAAAGCATGTGGGCAGACTTCGAGCCAGGTGAAAACTCTAGCAGAGAAGCTAACGCAATGGAGACGCGAGGCTGAAACCCTATGTTCCTCTAGGAATTAAAGGAAATAATAATAATAATCCTTCGCCTAAACAATAGAATTATACAACGAGTAATGAATTCTAAGCGTAGTGTCTTGGGGGCAAAAAAATGTTTTAGCTATGACATTTTCGGAGTTTCGATGTCAGTAAATTCAGTGGCTGTGTCTCCTTTGAACCCGTGTGAGTCGGTGGCACAGTGGTTAGGACTCTCGCCGACCATACACATGGTCCGGGGTTCGAGCCCACGCCGACGCACACCTGATATCAATGGTCGGCCTGCGAAATTTGGGCTACCGATATCCATGCTGAAAATTCCATACTTGTACAAAAGATACTATGTGGAATCAAGCTGTAATCAAAAATTAAAATTAAATTTAATTAATTAATCAATTATACGTTTCCTCTCTACAGTTCACAGGTATTTCTCTCTATCTGATAGGAATAGCAGCACATAAAAATTACATATCATAGAGAATTACAGTGCACTACAGTTGAAGATGGACACGCACCAGGTGATCCACACAACAGAAAACACAACAAAGAAGCCCTTGAATAGAAAGAAGGCGGGACTAGGATACGGTTGCCTATTGTCACCGATGACATTCCTAATTGCGGTGGACTCGATTATGTGCCAGGCAGTGGGGAAGCCAGAAGACAAGAAAACAATGGACCGATAAGGACAGTCTACGAGATTTGGACTTCATGGACGACTAATGTCAAATATCACAAAAACTAGGTGAAGAAGTAACAAAGACAAGACTTCAAGTGAGCGCATAGAGAAGACGGAGATGATGAAGACGACCAACAACAAGCACAATCACTATCAACGGGAGAAGTTTGAAGGGGGTCACACTCCTTTCAACTACAGGTGGTATGCGGCCGAGATCGGAAAGGCAAAACAAACCGTCATTACTCTGAAATGAGTTTGAGGGATCCCCGTCTGCTATCACCGGAAACAACGGAATTCGGATTTTCAACACCAATGTCAAGTCAGTCAGTTCTTATATATATACAGTGAGCAGAGGTGTGAGACAAAGGAGGAGTAATAACGAAGAACAAAACAGTTTCATTGGAGATCATATGTCACAAGGAGTGGATGCATCTGCGCTATCACTGAGAACCATTTTGAGCCATGTCACCAATTGTTTCCAATCATAGATTTTTACTGTCCCGAGGACCCCAGCCTGGAAGTCTACACCTTTCTACGTGGCTTAGACCAACTGTTGTGGATTTCATTGACTGGTGAAGCCAAGTTTTTGTTTGACCGCCGCTAGCTTTTTTCCAGCCTGAACTTATATCCTCTAACATTGCTCGTCGAGGGAGGCGATGGCTTGGCATACGTAACACATGTCCTAACCATCTCAGTCTTTGTAACTTCACGACTTCGTCGATTAATTTCCCCTGTTTACCTAGAACTCTACGCCTAACCTCCATGTTGCTCACCTTATTATGCCACTTTACACGGGAAATAGAACGCAGGCACCTATGATCAAAGACAGCTAGTCTTTTCATGTCTTCCACTCTCAGTGGCCAGGTCTCACAACCATAAAGGAGGACCGAGCGGACTGATGAGCAGCAGTATATATATATATATATATATATATATATATATATATGAGTCATAAATTTGCACTGCGGGTGAGTCACGAAAAGCATTTCTAACTGGCCATCTGCAGACATTTGTCAACAGCTGCTTCCTTTACTAGTTCCATGTTGAAAATCGAAACTATGGGAACACACTAACCGATAACCCTGACGCTCAACAAATATGTAAAAGAAAATGGAGATGAATTGGGCACCCACCAGTGAGGAGAAAGTTGAATGACATCGGCCCCACTGCAAGGCCATCATCGCTACGCGGAGGAATCCGAATGGGAGACCACGAATGGGGTGTCACTTCGGAAGTGACATGGAGATGATCATGCGAGGTGGAGATGAGAGACTATGGGAAATCATGGAGTCAGCCAGCTAAACAGGACAGCAGAGAAAATAGAACAGAGTGGAGATGGGCCGTGGAGGACCCAGAACCCATTATTATTTAAACGCAGAAAAAACTTGGTACAATATGGCACCAAGAAGAATGCGCCACATAATAATAATAATAATAAAACAACATAGGTCAAAAGAAAAAAGAAAGAAAAGATAAATAAATATAAGTAGAGAACGGATAAAGAATTTCATCTCGAAGGAAAACAGTCATGCTTAACAAGTTCAAACAATATGTTTTTTTTTATTTACAGCTTGATTCCATACTGTATTTTTGGTCCAAGTATGGAATTTTCAGCATGGATATCGGTAGCCCAAATTTTGCAGGCCGACCATAGATATCAGGTGTGCGCCGGCGTGGGCTCGAACCCCGGACCATGTGGATGGTCGGCGAGAGTCCTAACCATTGTGCCACCGACGCACAACTATCATCGGGAGGGGAAGAAAGAAGGAAATTGCAACACGTTCGCCATTGATTACGATTCTTCGCCATATCCGATAACGTTTCGAGCTATCTCGCGGACCCCAACTAGGGAGTCGTGACGCACCGAGCGATACTAATCTAGCACAAACATCCTTCGTCCCACTACGCCACGTCATGGACTGACCACCTCTCCACGTTTTCCATCCCGTCCCAGGGCTAGCGAACAAAGACCTATACGGAAGTCTCTGGGGTGACATTCGGAGCACATGTCCAAGCCACCGGAGCCGGTGTTTCCAGATGACGACACTCAATGAATGGTGATCTCCACTATGTTCAAACACACGCCGCCGAACCTCAGAATTACTCACGCGATGATTCCATCGAACGCAAGCAATCCTGCGGAGAAAGCGATGATCGAACACGCAGAGTCCCCGCCGCACATCCTCAGCCTACTCGGAGAGACCAGGTTTCACAGGTGTAGAGCAAGACAGCCCGCACCGAAGCATTGTGTATACCTGACCATTGACAACCAGGCTAACGTTGCGACGGTGCCAGAGGTGACTCAAGTTGATGTATGCCACCCTAGCCTTCATTATACACGGTTGGAAATCTCATCCGTCACCCCTCCCCACCAGCACTCACACAACCAGCCAGATACACACAAACTTATCAACAACTTCAAGCGATTCACCTGCAAGAGTGAATGCAGGTACAGGCTCCTGCCAATCTTGTAACAGTACTTTGCACTTAAACAGCGCAAAGGGAACAATAAATAATACAACTGAAAATAAATCAAGAGTAGAATGAAACAATCAAAAACACTTACTAGCTGGTAGAACACGAAATGGTGCACTTAATTTCCGACCAAATGAAGTAGACACTAAACAATGAAGTTTCATCAATTCCATTTGACTTAATTCTCGTTGACTAGAGACAATCAAACGAATAGCAACTTCATCGTGTGCTGTAGCTGCGGGATTGTCACGAATAGCATCAGCTGCCGTCTCATAAATAATCAGCTGATTCAGAGACTGTTGATGACTACCAGGGTTGCCAGTTAACAACAATAAATTGCCATCTGAGTTTGGGAGATGATGCGAAGAAGAAGAAGACGTGATTTGTTCAGCAGATAGGATAGCATGACGTTGACTTCCAAGACCTTGGGGAAGATGTACTAATCCATTGTTGTTGATATTATTATTATTACTATTAGGATTACCAACAATCAATGAAGTTGACACGATAGGATTTAAGCCAAAGGTTTGATCTGGCAGTACTGATGACGTTGCTTGATGTTGAGCCAGTATATGCAGTTTTGAATTTGCTGGCCATGCTCGACAGACAAGTTCAAGTGGTGGGAAGCTAACACCATCACTTGATGGATATACAAACTGGGAGATAGATGGAGGTAGGCCCGTAAAATGTGGTATTACTATATTTAAAAACCAAATAAAATAAATAGACACAAGTGTTTATCTTAGTTCAAGAATGAATGATACAGAAAGTGTAATTATTATGTATGCAGAATAACATCATCAGTGGTATAATAATAATAATAATAATAATAATAATAATAATAATAGCTTTATTCCAAACAGCATTTGTGGTACAGGTATGGAATTTTCAGCGTGCATTACAATATATTGCATCTAATCACCTCATAAATTTTATAAGATTTTAAAATCAAAAAGCAACAACCAAAAAAGATAGATGACAAAAAGTAAAAAACAACAACGTTGCCCTTACATTTTAAACAATGCAACACAGGATATGAAATATAAAATTAGTGTGTAGTAGAAGATGAGAACAACAGTGTAATAGTAACGAAGAAAGGAAAACAAAAACTAATGGGACTATTTGTTAGACTGCCGCAGTAAGTTGATCGTGTCATACCTAACTGTCTGTCTGTCTGTCTGTTTTCGACATAGAACTTTGCACAAATGTGCGGAAGTTCAAGTCGCCACATTCCGTGTAGCACGCGAAGCAAGAGAAGAAAGTACAAGAAAAGCATAATAGAAACAGTGAGCAGAGGTGTGAGACAAAGGAGTAATAACGAAGAACAAAACAGTTTCATTGGAGATCATAAGTCACAAGGAGTGGATGCATCTGCGCCACTGAGAACGATTTTGAGCCATGTCACCAATTGTTTCCAACCATAGATTTTTACCGTCCCGAGGACCCCAGCCTGGAAGTCTACACCTTTCTACGTGGCTTAGACCAACTGTTGTGGATTTCATTGACTGATGCCAAGTTTTTGTTTGACCGCCGCTAGCTTTTTTCCAGCCTGACCCTATATCCGCTAACATAGCTCGTCGAGGGAGGCGATGACTTGGCATACGTAACACATGTCCTAACCATCTCAGTCGATGTAGCTTCACGACTTCGTCGATTGATTTCCCCTGTTTACCTAGAACTCTACGCCTAACCTCCATGTTGCTCACCTTATTATGCCACTTTACACGGGAAATAGAACGCAGGCACCTATGATCAAAGGCAGCTAGTCTTTTCATGTCTTCCACTCTCAGTGGCCAGGTCTCACAACCATAAAGGAGGACGGAGCGGACTGATGAGCAGTACACCCGCCCTTTGGTCGATAGTCGAACATCTCGTCTACGCCAGAGTCGGCGTAAACTAACAAATGCGAAACGAGCCCCTTGTATTCGTGCTGAGATTTCGTCAGAGATCAACCCGTTGGGGCTGATGGTACTTCCCAAATAAGTGAAGCGGTCAACGTGCTCTACCACTTCACTTCCTATTTTTAAACTAGGCGTCGATGTAGTCCAGTCCTGTAACATCATCTTGCATTTGGCGGGAGCGAATCGCATGCCAAACATTCGTAGATTGCTGTTCAAGGTGTTTAGAAGACTCTGCATTTTGTCAGCGTCTTCGCCTAGAAGGACTATATCGTCTGCATATTCCAAGTCAACGAGATTATTCCCCGGTAGCAAGTCAATCCCTGAATCGCTGAAGTCACCTAGGGTTAAGTCCATTAACACATCTATGATGAAGTTGAATAGAAAAGGAGATAATGGGCATCCTTGACGGACACCACTGGTCGTCATCAGTTCAGATGACAGCTCGCCGTAAGCCCTCACCTGGCTGTATGAGTACGAGTAGAGTGCCTTAATCAGTGCAATATATTTTCTTGGAATTCCCTTTACAGCCAAGCATCTCCAGAGAACTTCCCGATCGACAGAGTCGAATGCTGCCTTTAGGTCAAGAAATATAATGACTGTTGGACGCCGGTAGGAATGCCTATGTTCTAGAATCTGTCGGAGGGTGAAGATATGATCAATACACCCTCTTCCTGGTCTAAAGCCTGCCTGGCTCTCTCGTGTTTGTGCTTCCCGAGCACCACTCAGTCTACGCATGATTATTGAGCCTAAGACTTTAGATACTATATTAGTCAAGCTAATCCCTCTGTGATTATCACAGGAAGACTTGTCTCCCTTCTTGTATATGGGGATAATCAGTGACTTACACCAACCCGATGGGACTTCTTCTGATTCCCAAACGCTGCCTAGTACCTCAGTTAATCCGGACAGTAAGCTGTCTCCACCGTACTTAAATACCTCTGGCGTCATTCCATCAGGTCCCGCTGCTTTGCCTAGTTTCAGATTGGTGACAGCTTTAGTAACCTCAGTTAGTGACGGAGGACCTGTATCTATATCCCATTCAGGGAGGTGTTGGATGCTCGGAAGGTTGAGCGTGGCTGTGGGCAAATTAAACTGCTCCTCATAATGCTCTTTCCAACGATCCAGTCGTCTATCCTGTGAGCTAATTATAGTGCCATTTTTTTCCGAGATTGTCTCACTAATGATTTGTCTTCTCCCACCCGTTTCCCTGATGAGTCCAAAGAGTTGCCTGGTGTTGCCTATCCTCAAAGCTTTCTCCATCTCTTTGGCTTTTGTCGCCCACCACTGTTCACCTAACGGATTTCTCATCACATAACAGCTGTGCTAGATATGGTATTGTGGAGTTTTTGTACTTGGTAGTCCTAGCACATAGCCTCTTATAGCTGCTTCTTGTTCTACCAGATGAAATGCAAGGAGACAGCTGCGTACAGAGAGGGTGCTCGGGTCTGACAATATTGTATTCGCCAGTTTCTTACATGACATTATATGTCTATCCACAAGAGTGTTAACCAGTTGGTTTAACGATATCCCACTTGACCTACTAACGGCTTTTAGTGCCTGCCCTTCTCAGCAAAGCAAAGTCTTTCTTAAGTAGTCCAGGAAAGATTAATGGCGAGCAGTAAAGGGGGATAGGTAGAATACAGGAATTGGCAAACTGAGAAAGCAAAGACTGCTTTATACCAGACTGACTAAACTTCCTAATGTAGAACGTTCAGGGAAACATCTTTCTAGTAACTAACTAGCAAGATGTGGGAGGACCAAGAAAGATCGGTGGAAAAACTCAGCCCAAGGTAGATGTATTTGCAACCTCTATGCCGTCAATCATAGTGGGGCCATGTGAGCTAGCTAGTTGTTGTAGGTCAGGTTTTTGTCTGCAATGGAAATTGACTACCTGACATTTAGACGGATTTAGCTTAAGACCGCTTGAAGAGGACCACTGACTAATTTCCGACAGAAAGTTATTTAATTTTAAACAATCTGACTGAGAGTTGACAGGCATAGAAACAGAGAGGTCATCAGCATACTTAACAAAAGTGGCTGCATCAGAATGAGGCAAGTCATGTAAGAAAAAAGAAAACAGAAAAGGAGAAAGAGCAGCACCTTGAGGAACACCAGCTGAAGTAAGTGAGGTAGTGGAGGACTTCCCATTGTAGACGGTGTACTGCTTCCTATCAGAAAAACAGGAATGCAGCTACTTATTTGTCCAGCTCTCAGCCTGTGTTGCAGCAAGCTTACTTAGCAAGAGAGACCTAGACTCAGAGTCAAATGCAGATGTGTAATCAAGGAAGGCACAGCGAATGTATTTAGCTCCTTTATCTAAACTAGAGACTATACTATGATGTAGGACAACAGCGGCATCTAAGGTACATCTACTATGTTTGTAGGCAAACTGGTTGCTGTCATTGAAAGGCTTTAAAGAGGGTTCAAAATTAAGTAAAATAAGTCTTTCCATAACTTTCAAAAAAGGTGAGGTAATAGCAGTCGGTCTAAACTTAACAGTAGGTCCACTTGTTGATTTGTGTATTAATGTCGTGATACAGATTCAATAGAAAGCGCCTCAGAGGTGGAAGTGTTTACTCTCCAGATCTGGACGGGAAATAAATAACCACACTAGACAACTAATTGTTTAACCTCTGGGGCTGATTTCAATTGCCAACCAGAGTAGAACAGTTTATTCTGCTCTGACCCTCGACAAACTATATAATCGGGCTTATATTGTGTATAATTTATGACGTGTTCTTCCCTCTTCATAAAAGAAATCCGTTACCAAGTCTCGTATCTCAGTAAATGTGTATATTTTCATTGGACATTAGTAACTAGTGTGATGTGTCTAGTCCTTTCGTTGTCTGGTGCAGACTGAATTCTATCAGTCAGCTAGATTTGCAATGTGGCCACCATTCTAGTTAGCTCGCCATCACGGTGCACGTTGATTTGATGATATTAGATAGTTGGTGGCAACTATCTACCTTTCTGTTCTCCCAATGTAACTGTTCCCACAGATACACGTAAATTTGTATACACAGTTGGAATTAACATGAGAAGAGTGTCTATCGACTTTTGACTGCATCAAAGAGCATGTTGTTCGATGAACGGGAATTAACTTAGCTGCAGGAGAGGCTCTGGCTAGTGATATCCTCAGTCTTTCGTTGACCATCTCCGCAATGTTTTCACCTTTAAAATCTAGTTGAATGAAGACTGGCTTTTTTTCAGTTGTGATTTGTTTGGTATTTGAGCCTTAACATCTTCCATATTTGTTAATGAATCTTTTAGGATAACCGTTGTTTTTCAGCACCTTTTTGAGAATCGTAAATTCTTCCTCTAGTTTCCCTGCAGAGCATATTCTCCTCACTCTATAGTACAGAGTCTTGAATAGTGCTCGTTTATAGCTATTTGGACAAAAACTATTAAAATGTAAGTAAAATGTCCATTCCATGTGGGCTTTCGGTAGATTGACCACCTCTGGAGACTATCATCTTCTAGGCGTTGCATGGCAACGTCAAGGAAATGAAACTTTTCATCATTTTCATGTTCCATAGTAAATACAATATTTGTATGTGCGTTGTTGAACAGTCTGAGTAGGTAGGAGGCATGACGACTTTCGTTGTTGACACTTGACATCTCCCTGTATATTAAAACTACTAGCTCTCTCCAATACTTCACATTGCTTTATATCCACTTTCTTCATCTCTGCCGCCTTCCTCACATCCCTCTTAACACTAAAATGATGTCTACTACTCCGATTGCTATTACGGATCACGGGTTATATATCATTCGAGGACATAATATTAACCGCATCAAATCCTCTCATATATATATATATATATAAAATCATATAGAAATGATGACAGCACAAGAATGAAACTTACTCTGCAAACTGGCGCTAACTGTACTGAACAGTAGAGTTATGTTAATACTAATAAAAAGTAATAATCCACTGAAAACGACACTTGAAAGACATCCAAATTGTATTGATGTATTGATGTTCATTTCATTCGATTTTATCTTTTATACACGATGATGATAATAATATCGTAAATAATAAGAACAACAGCAACAGCAATAATAACAGTGATTAATACGAATAATACTTGACGCGAGAAACGATAATCCTGACGATGATTTCGACGAATTCACCATCGATAGTTTATTTCACCCTCCTCGTTTTCTTTTTGCTTATGTAGTTGTTGATGCATAGAATACTAGAGTAATAGCACAGGAGAGATTTGAAAGTACTGTCATCATTTTTTCTGTATGTATGTATGTATGCGTGTGTAAATTATAAATGTCCTCAGGCTTCTTTCCTCAGTGTAATCAATATTGAGATCAGATGTAAAAGAGTTAAATTGCCTTAAATAAACAAAAATGATATTTTTGAAATACTAGAGAAAACATCGACAAATTTAACAAATCAATAAATAAACCTCATTGATATCCAAGTATTGGTTTTTTTGGGGGTTTTGGTTCGTTGGTTATAGAATTTCATCATGAGCTGACATTGGTTAGAGAACCATTGAAAAACCCAACAAAGGAGTACTGGACAGCTGTTTCTCCCTAGTTTGGGATGCACCCACCGGTTTCTCTAACCTGATTCTAACCAATGTCAGCTCATAATGAAATCCTGTAACCAATCAACCAAATCCCTACAAACCAATACTTGAATATCAATGAGATGCTTACTAGCAACTTGCCCTATTCAGGTAGGTAGTTACCTGGGGTGCTAGTGTGACAAGTCATGATCAGTAGACTACAGCAGATTGAAGGTGGGGCAGTAACTCATCAAAGAAGACATTGTTAAGTGGTCGCGCTGTGTAGTGCATGAATTGGCAGAAGTTAGAATTCATGGGCTAGCTGGCCACTGGATCAGGTCTCAGTGGCTGATGAATGGTCTACGCGCTCGCTAGCCTTGTAATCAGAGGGTCTTGTGTTCGGACCATGGCGGAGGGTGAGTACTGCGGGAGAGTCCCTAACTAGGCAGACGAAACAGCTGTATAGTTCATCCTGTGGGTTTTCCAATGGTTCTCTAACCAATGTCAGCTCATGATGAAGTCTTGTAACCAATAAATAAACTCTCTTAAGACTTAAATTATTGATGAGTAACCATCTTTTTGAAGACTTATAACAAGTTAGATATTTGTGTATAAAATAAAAAGAAAGAACTTTGATTTCACATTTAATGTAACTTAGCCGTAGAACATTTGAGTACTATGGTAGAATATATATACAATTCTATGCTTTAGATAAGTTTAAGTTTGATATACTACACACACGGTGGTGATACACAAAGTATTTTCACTCTTCACAACATATCAAACAAGAGAAATCCAAGAGAACGATAATAAACAGAAATGCAAGGAAGAAAGAATAGTAGTATAGAAAAACAATGAGATTTTCTTTTGGATACGACAGATGAACGCCAATATTTGAGAACGATTTTAAGTCATCTCACGAATTGCCTCGCCAGTCATCACTGGTTCTTACCATCCCGAAGACCGCAACCAGACTGACAGTTTACACCTCCCTACATGGCTGGCTAGCTGGCTGGTTCACACAGTAACTCTTATGGATTTTATTGACTGATAAAGTCATGTTCTGGCTTGACTACCACCACCACCACCAACACTCTAGCTCTTTTCTAACCTAATCCTATGCAAGCAATGGTTAGGCATTTCAATCGATTTAGGTTCACAGCCTTATCGATTGACTTGTCCTCAACGCCTAAACTTAATATTACTAATCCTATTATACAACCTAACAAATACGGGAGATAGAACGGCGACAGCTAGCCTCTTCATAGGCATCAATGAGGACGGAGCAGACTGCAGAGCAGTACACACAGAGAGATTGATGATAACTTAATTATTCATTGTTCAGCGAATCAACACCGAAGAAGCGCAAACGAAGTGACGCAACGCCTGTACCGGATATATTGAAAATTGCAGTGAATAACAGCGGGGGGTGGGTGGGTGTTGTAGAGGAAATACATAAAACTACTTATGATGTTGTACGAATACACTGCTATAATTAGGAGTAATAAATTGTGCTCTAAAAATCATCCAGTTATCAATATAGTATCACTGTGTGTTATGCATAATAATACACGAATTAGATCTCCAGCATACCAAGTTGAGTCATATTCACTGGGTGATAACCGATGGTACTACCCAAGTTGCCCAGGGTAAATTTAGCGCAGCGAAGCTCGAACCCAAGACACATCGGCTGCCTAAATCAATAGGCAACATCTCTACATTACCTACAGAAAAATACCATATTGCTCTGTGATCCAGTTTATGTTTCGTATACTCAAACATATTTATTCTTCTCAAATGAATTGTTGAGAAGGAAGTCTCTGCAAACGACTACATCAATTCCGATAGCAGATAAAAATTCAACATTGATGTCGCTTGTTTGAAAGTGACAGACAGGCAAGAAACTCGGAACATACGCTTAGTGTGTTCGTCTGCACCTCCCCCCCTTACTTCCCCCAGTAAGACGTATCTACCACCCCGAAAAGAACTGCCGCCTTGTCAGAGATTCGAAACCGCATTACCATTTGACACGGTCAAAGATATTACCACCCCTGAGCTATTTTGCCTCAGAATAGACCCTCTCTTGTAGGCATGTAATGGAGGCATCCGCGTTATTCGCCTTGATGAGGAATAAAAGAATGTCTTAGCTCTACTTGTCAACGACTTTCACATGTGTTACAGTGAGAGGAGAGTTTCGACTATTTAACAGGAAACTTTATATTCTAATGAAGGTAGACATGAAAGCCATTACGTCATTTATTAATGTTTCAAACCGCGCAAAAAAAAATGCAACCTAACTAGTCAGCTTAGGGAAAAAAACAGAGGTGGCGTGAATATTTTTCATCCCGTTTATCATCATCACCATCCATCATCATATAACTTTTCCACCTCAATTCCCCTTGATTTTGGTAAATTTATTAAATTCTGTCAGCTTTGAACAGACACATAGTGTGTCGTGCAAAAACAAAGTAAATCAGTTTGTCTTACTCTCGCCTGTTTCATTTATGATATGAACAGCTAAAAAAAACCTGACTGAAGAATCATCTTTAAAATCAATGAAAAATCATGATTTACTTGACAGGAAAGTAAACTAAACAATCAAATTCAAATGATGGATTGACTGACTGACTGTTTTCAACATAGAGCTTTGCACAGAAGTGCACTAGTTCGAGTTACTACTTTCCCCATGTAGTGCACAAAGCAAGAGAAGAGAGTGAAGAGAGGTACAAAAGACAGAGATAATAAACAGAAGTGTAAGCGAGGCAAAAAGAATAGTAATATGGAAGAACAATAGAGTACTTTGATTGGATACGATAAATCATAAAGAGTGGATACATCTGCATCTGTATCTGGGGACAATTTTGAACCATATCACTAAGTGTCTCTCCAGCCTTCATTGGTTCTTACCATCATGAAGACGCCAATCTACACTTTCCTACGTAGCTAGCTGGCTAGCTTAAACTAACTGTTACGCATTTCAATGACTGACGAAGCCATGTTTTGGCTTGACCACCAATATCACTAGCTCTTTTCCAACCTGATCCTACATCAAATTCAAATGCAGAAACACAACTAACTGCATGCATTTTAGCCAACTTCGTGGTGTTTGGTCCATACATTTACTCAATGAAATAAATATTATATTTTTATATATTTTTTTTGCGTCGGTGGTACAGCGGTTAGGACGCTCGCCGACCATCCACGTGGTCTGGGGTTCGATCCCCAGCCACAGACGCACGCCTTTACCTCGCTAAGTCAGAAATAATGCTGGTAAAGAGGAAAGGTTCGGCATGAGGCTAGCAACCCCATCCTGTAAAAATAATCACCACTGCTGCAGAAACTTCAAGCCACTAGCTTCAGGCCCTATGTTCCACTGGGGAACGTGAAGGAAAATATTTTTTTTATTACAGCTTGATTCCACACTGTATTTTTGGTACTGTCTGTCTGTCTGTTTTCGACATAGAACTTTGCACAAATGTGCGGAAGTTCAAGTCGCCACATTCCGTGTAGCACGCGAAGCAAGAGAAGAAAGTACAAGAAAAGCATAATAGAAACAGTGAGCAGAGGTGTGAGACAAAGGAGTAATAAAGAAATACAAAACAGTTTCATTGGAGATCATAAGTCACAAGGAGTGGATGCATCTGCGCCACTGAGAACGATTTTGAGCCATGTCACCAATTGTTTCCAACCATAGATTTTTACCGTCCCGAGGACCCCAGCCTGGAAGTCTACACCTTCCTACGTGGCTTAGACCAACTGTTGTGGATTTCATTGACTGATGCCAAGTTTTTGTTTGACCGCCGCTAGCTTTTTTCCAGCCTGACCCTATATCCGCTAACATTGCTCGTCGAGGGAGGCGATGGCTTGGCATACGTAACACATGTCCTAACCATCTCAGTCTTTGTAGCTTCACGACTTCGTCGATTGATTTCCCCTGTTTACCTAGAACTCTACGCCTAACCTCCATGTTGCTCACCTTATTATGCCACTTTACACGGGAAATAGAACGCAGGCACCTATGATCAAAGACAGCTAGTCTTTTCATGTCTTCCACTCTCAGTGGCCAGGTCTCACAACCATAAAGGAGGACGGAGCGGACTGATGAGCAGTACACCCGCCCTTTGGTCGATAGTCGAACATCTCGTCTACGCCAGAGTCGGCGTAAACTAACAAATGCGAAACGAGCCCCTTGTATTCGTGCTGAGATTTCGTCAGAGATCAACCCGTTGGGGCTGATGGTACTTCCCAAATAAGTGAAGCGGTCAACGTGCTCTACCACTTCACTTCCTATTTTTAAACTAGGCGTCGATGTAGTCCAGTCCTGTAACATCATCTTGCATTTGGCGGGAGCGAATCGCATGCCAAACATTCGTAGATTGCGGCTCAAGGTGTTTAGAAGACTCTGCATTTCGTCAGCGTCTTCGCCTAGAAGGACTATATCGTCTGCATATTCCAAGTCAA